GGGGGGGCATATGTTTTCTGATTCTCTATGGTGCCTAATGATTCGAAAAGGTTTCGGCGTAAGGGAACTAATATTAGACCAGGGGAAACGTCTTTTATTTTCCAGATGGATCTACTGATCAACCTCCTTGTGCTTTATGGCCCTGCTGGAGTGTATTTCCCTCGAAGTAGTCAGGCAGAAGGGCAGTGATAGACAATTACCTCGAAGTCTATTACCATTAACCCGCATTTTCACTCTGAAATCCTAGGTTTTGGCCAATTACACCTGTCAGGGCCTAGTGATATGTGATCTGATTCTTCTGCGATGGTGTCTGTAATTTAGTTTAATCTTCTTAATCTATCACGTAATTACTTCCATTTACTCCAATTCATCAATTGTCGCCTTAGGTATTTATGTGAAATTACGCATAGGTCAATGACTTAGTATTGACGTAGGTAGGATGTCTCAACGCCCCCCCCCCACACACCCTCTCTAGTTACACGTGCTATTACCTACCTCTGTGAGAGTTTTGTTACTAATCAAGCAGCATATTTTTGCCTTCATTTTGTATAGTCTTTCCTAATTAGACTTTTAGTAAACAATATGCTGCAGATACAAGGAAATTTAAAACCAAAATATTGTCAATAAGGCGTTAAGTGGTGCAGAGTGAGAGGAAATGACCATCCTTTCACTCCCTTTTCTCACCACTGGTTTTAATACTGGCTAGTGAGTTTGCTTAGTTTTTTCCCGATGTTGTGTTTGCTAAAGGGAGATTTGAACTGAGGAAGTTTTTTAACAAATCGGTTTGTGTTTAACGTCCTTTTTGTCCAAGAGATCTTCTGAAAACTGAAAAAATTGTTTTCGTTTGGAGAGTGGTTTTCAAAGCACCTGCTCTATGTTTGTATCAGATGTCAGTTTTAATGAACAGAGTCCCACATTAGCCTTTTCTTCATTCCCGCTTATTGCACGATCTAGTTCTTCATAGTTTGGTGTCATAAACAATCCCACATCGGCTTTATGGTTGTGCCATTCTCATCTTCCGGGTTTTAATTATGAGCTGAGGTGAGTGGTTGTGCTACTAGCCTAGGTTTTAAGAGCTTATTTCTGTTGATTGAGGTTGAGGGTTTTCAACGATGTCGATGAAAGGGCTCCCTATTAGGCAGACTTCTTTTTGTCCATTAGTCATTCCAGTCGCACCTTAATTGATATGCTATTGGAAAAGCAAGAATAGGATATTCATGAGTGATTCATCACTCCATTAAGTTCATATCTTTTGCTGTCCTTTTTAAAGGCCAAACATAATGCCGTCTTGTACCGTACTTGATCACCTTGTGTGTCTATCTTTTTGTAGTGGTCTCCGGTTCGAGTTCCATCAGTGCGCATCCAGTGAATGAAATGGTATTGGCCAAGCCTGGATAATGTAGAAGGTGGCAGATTTCGAGTCCTACATAGGAATCTTCATGAAACCACTTTATACCCTAGATAAATTGGCTTAAGAATGATTAACGCACGTATTTGTCAAACCGTATTCGCATCGAGATTCGATAGGTTCCATTAAACGGTTTGTTCGTCCCGAGTTTACCACTTCTCGTAACATTATTTGTTGTAAATATATATGGAGCGCGAGTAATGCTAAAAATCGGCTTCAATTCAAATATTCTTGAGTACTATTCTGTAAAGCAAATGTCTTTGTTTCATTCTTCACTAAAATTGCAGCATCACTTTCAGCGTAAACTTCATTTCAATAATTGTCCTCGTTTAGTTGTTTATCGATCAAGTCTTCATGCTTTCATTCGTGTATTTTCTAATAGATGCTCTATTGGGGAAAAGGATTTTTCCTAACTGATTACCTTTTATTTCACGAGACAACTTTCATACTTACCTTGCTATTTATTCCATTTGAACAAGAGGGTCTATGTTGACCGATTTCAGCAAGGTGGGACAGAATAAATGGGGAGATTTCAGTCTTGAAGACAGAATTTTACATACTTTCAGTAGTGGTTTTGGCCTCGTTGTCCTGGAGATTTCATTCTTTGACTGCTGGAAAATTGTTTGGTTGGCATTTAGCTTTCAAAGCGAGTGGGTAGTGGTTGCTTAACTTCAAGAGAGGTGGTTTGCATGTATGTAATCTCACTCTCCACAATCCAGTTCAAAATTGCAAGTGTATTCGTTTTTTTTCTCTTATGCATTTCTACTTTTCCTTTATTTCAGAGTCCGTTCTTCTCTTCGGTTCGCAACACAATTGGCTTGGCTCCTTGATACTCATCTAATATCCTCCGCCAAATCTTCCCATTCTAAAATCAATTCAAGCGCCAGCACCAATGCTTTGCATTCTCTCAAACTTCCCTCGGTAAATTCCATTACGTCATCTACCTCATCCATGGCTACAACAGCTGTTGAAGTCGTTCAGGGAGCATCCGAACAAAAGTCTTCCATCCATGGTGGTTCCAGCAGTAGTTCTAATAGTCTAAATTGTCAGGGGGATGACGATGGTGACTATGAGAATATCAGTGGAACGGTGGTTTTGCATTCACTTTCTATTGGGCCTGATCACCTGACCAACCACAAACGGGCGGATTCTGATGTAATCTGTATGTGTGTATTTACTTAATTACCATCTTCACCTGTTGTTACCTATTTTTTATGATTTACTAGTCAATCGTGTTCCCTTTCTAAGAGGCTTATTTATTAGGAGATTAGACGAGAATTGTTTGGAGTATGAATTGATTTTTTGTGGGTAGGTTTGAGCACTTTAATCGTCTTTTGTTCGGTTTTCACTACCGCATTCCATTGCCATTGCCTTCTCAGAATGCGCCTTTTGCAAATGGTTAAATTCGTGTAAACCCCTCTAGCTTTGAAATCACTTTGAGTGTTTTTTTTGTTTAAACTTTATTTATTTCAAATGGCAGGCATTATGATAGGTATCATTGGCCCTTTAGTTGACTTCAGGCTTCACAGAAAGGAAGATAAACATCAAAGTGGCAAAACTTCGAGAGGGGGACAGAATAATGATTTACAGACGTAAGAGACAGACAGACACAAAGGTAAAAAAAGGTGAGGTGAGTACTGTGAAATTATTTGAATATGAAATGCAGTGGGGTCTTGGTAGTTTGAAGTCAGAGGTCAACTGCCGAATAATAGACTTTTTGCCGTATGAGTATACGTTGCCCAGGGTTCACCACGTGGAGGTAAGTCTATCGCACACCCCTTGTTTAAACTTCAATTTAAAGTAATAAACACAAACATACTTTACGTGTTCATTCATCCCTTAACTAATTTCTCAGTAGTTGGTGTGATATCCATTGAGGCAGGTAAATGTTTTTCCAGCAGATTGTTAAACTTCTGGGAACTCACTCTTGGCAATTGCAACCTTGACTTCCACACAGCAGATCATTTTAGTATTCAAGTATTGCTAAATATATTCCTTCTGTTGTAGTCGGGTTATTCTTTTTAAGTGCTTTCTTTTATGGCACGACGCCGTGTTCGGTTTTAATCATGGATTGCTTTTCACAAAAATAATTGGATTTGGATTAAGGGTGTATTTCTCTCTCTTGTTATGAGTAATAGTTAAATGATTTAGGTGTCGTTGATGTTCTTTTAAGACCTCAACGCGTGGGTGGAGTGCCAATTTTACATCTATTTAACCTCTCCTGTGATTTCATTGTAGAGTTTCGAGGTGCTTTTGTTTCGGCTTTCCTTGAGTCTTTTTCGTCTACTTTTGAGGGTGTTTGTACAAGGAGCCATGAAGAAGGGCCAAGTTGGTTGTTAATGGAAGAGAATTGAGCAAAATGAGGTCCTACTGTTTTGGCTTTTCATTTTCTCACAGCCCTTTCCTCTTAAATCTACCAAACTCCGACCTCACTTAGCCTCCGCCGCCCTAAGCGCCGCTTGTCAAACAGACAATTCTTTTTTCTTAAAATTCAAAATGATTAAAATTATATATTCCTTATGGGGAGGCTATGTGAAAATGTGAAACTGCTTGCCACAGTTTGAATAGACAAGTCCTACCTGTCGTCTAGGGGAAATTGGAATATGCCCTCCATAAATAAAGTCCAGAAAAAGGGGGAATGCTTGTCAGTTCAAGAGATCGTCTTAATTGGATTGTTCTAAGCACCTCGTCATTAGTGATGTAATTCAAACCCGCCTATTCTTCTATTGGCTATCAGATTAAAATTCAACTCCGGAGGTGGGGGGGGGGATTGAAATTTATGTACTGTAACTGATTCCTCCTATCATATTTGACTTATACTTGTGTGTGTGTGTGTGTGTGTGTGTGCTCTGAAGACTCAATTTCATGACCACCCACCTTCAAGTCTACTCTAAGGTCAAAGTCACTTCACGCAATCGTTCAGTCGTGACCTCACGTGTTTCTGGGATTTTGACTCTTTATGGTACTAAATATGCTACTTTTTAAATACAAATAGTAATATCAATTTCACTTCGTATCAGTATGAGCGTGCATTTCTAAAATGATCCATCGTTGGTAATAGGACGGCAATTCGATTTTTTGGGTCCGAAATTTTCTCGCGTTCTCTAGTTAAACCTCAAAGTGCCTCACTCATCTCCTCTGAAGTCTCCCTTCAATCTCCACGTGCCATAGCTGTGCGTAGTTTCGTAACATTGCATTTTATTGGTATATTACGAATCTTTTTGTAATCGGACTTCGTGCGCGCAGAAACACCGTTGGTCTTCTGAGTGAATCACGTGTCCTCACAGTTCATCTCCTGACCCTAATTCCAGTGATATGATTTGAGTTGTATTGTGTTTGTCTACCTTGTATCTAAACCCCATAATTTAATATTTGTAGTCTCAGGCACCATCGGAATGTAATTTTCAGTGTTTGTTAAATTCAAAACATACAGGCCACTTTCTTGCTTCACGTGGTATTGTAGTTTCTCATTTACGTCCCGCATTACTATTAAACCATACCTTTTTTATAGGGCGTCCAGGCACTGAGGCACAATCTCGTGTTAGTAAACAACTAGTATCTGATTCGCAGACTTATAAGTCATACCTTGAAGACAGTGGCAGCCAAGGTGATGATGGTCTCGACGCTGGTGGTGGCGGCAGTTGCCGGAATGACGCCTGCGATGTAATTTAAAATTTGTTTTAAATTACTACTCATTTGAATTTCAGTAGGCTATATTTAGTATTTTTAGGCCGCAAATTCAGTTAGAAGCGAATCTTGGGCAAAGATGCATTCAGGATTTTGCGCACCAACCTTAGCTACCCGTTCGGACACTCATTTGCATGTAAGACCACCACACCTTCCTCGAACAGATAATTTCTCAGTGACCAGTTTCTCCACCGACCTTCTGTATCTTCCACCAAGTCAAACTCAACAGCTGGATCGCTTACAAAATACTCTTTCTGATTTTCTCGACTGTGCTGCTGCTTCCTCCTCTACAAACTCCGTTGAACTTCACTCTAAAACATCTTTGCGACCGGACAAGTTTGCTTGGTTGTGTAGGAATCAGTGGGACTTTGTGAATGCTCTCCTTTGTATTAGCCGCAAGCTAACAGCCTTTCCGTCAAAGGAACAACGAAGTATGCCCTCCACTGTAATTTTATGATTATTTTTATTAATGCCAAAAACAAGGCCAAAAGTTTATTGGGTGAAATTTGAAAGCACTTGTTAATTAGAACTGACCTTTGTGGTTTTCTGCTCTACTTTAACTTTCCACGGTTGATCCTGATTTTTAAAAGTTTTCTATTTTTCTACTAAAGATTTGGGAATTTAGAAGGAGGTCATAATGGAGATCAGAAAAGCGTATGGTTAAAATTATTTCCCATTGGTTTCTTGATAGGGTTATGTGTGCTTGTTTTTAGGCGAACAAATATGAACAAAACGTGTCTCAGTAGTTGTGTTAATTTTCTCGAACAGATGAGTTTTGTGTATTGCGTCTCAAGGTTCCTCAAAACCTTCTCTTTATTTATGAGATGCCTCTTAAATCTATTTGAAACGGATTCCAAAAACAGCTCTTTCCTGTACATCTACGTTTGAGTAGATTAGAGCTCCCATGGGTTAGGTATAGGATGTTTAGTCATTTTATATGGAAGGGTTTTTTCATGAGCTTAACTTCGACCTTCCACCAAAAGTTTGTTGCTTGCTATGGTGGGTACAATTTAATTTTGATAGTGGAATTTCTTCCTAATACACTGTAAGCTGAAATTTCGACCTAAATAATATGTTAATTTCACTCTCATATTGGGCTTTTTTCGGCTCTCTGATCATTTCTACAAACATCTGCTTAATTCATTTTATTAGTAGCTAACAATGAGTCTAAATCTCTTCTTTCCAGCTGGCCATTTGCAGGCGGAGCTTTACAAGCTTAACATGGGCCTACCAGCAAGGGTTTGGTTGCCCGTAGAAAAAACAGAACACGTGGTACTCCGAATTCCGCCCTCAGCGGCTGTATGCCTTAATTCCGCAGAAAAGGCGCCCTACCTGATCTATGTGGAGATTTTGGAGTGCAATGATGTCATGACTGTCCGTCTTCCCCAGCGAACTGGCACCACCTCCGGACTCACACCCTCAAACATTCCAAATCACCGTTTTCATGACAACCATATCTTTAATTTCAGTCCCCAACTCACTCCCTCCTCTTCTAAAATGGTAAATTCTGCTTGTTTTATTAAAATTTGAGAACTAGATGATGTCAAATTTGAACGATATAGTAATAGAAAGGAAGCCGAAACAGTGATGATCTATTTCGATTTTGTTAATACTGTACTCAATTCATATTCGTCTAATCCTTAGAGTACTGCGTATTTAATATAATGCCGTTACCGAATTTATACCACAGCTGTGGTATCTCAAAATCGAGAGTTATAGGGGGTGAAGGTGGGTGGGTGGGTGGCTTAAATGTTTGTTTTCTCGTCTCTTTGTGAAAATTGGTTACTTTCATTTAGAAGACTTTTTGGCCGCCAGTTTCGTTTTCAGTCATGTGCTTTGGGGGGGGGGCCTATTTGTCATATTCGAATCCCTTCCACAGTACTCATCTTACCTTTTTTACATCTGTGAATCACTCTTCTGTCCCCCGCCATCTCAACTTTTTGTCACTTTGATGTTCCTTCTCTCTGTGAAACCCCGAAGTCAGCTTCAGGTCTAATGATAACTATCAAAGCGCATGCCATTTGGTATAAATGTTCTCTAATGTGCCCAATTTTGACCCTGCACGTTCGCTTGTAATAAAGATCTCTTATTGCCCACAAAGGCACAGAGGACTCCAGGTTATGGAACAAAATCCAGTATTTGGACATTATTCGATGCTGCCAAGTTCTCATAAAATTTAATGAATCACTTGCTTCTAAATCAGACCCCTTTACGCTTTTTTCATCCTAAAGCCTTGTTTTTTAAGAGGTGTTTTTTTTTCATTTTAAATGACAAAATGTTCACTTATTTGACGTATTCATCTTACAGTTTCTCCTCTTCTCATTCCATAGTTCGTCATAAAAGATGCAAGGAGTAAAAACGAACTATTAATGAACTCGGTCATATTACTTATTTCTTTGAAGTAGCCACCTATCTATAAAGCGCTCTATTCTTTTCCCATAGTATTTGAGCAGTGCTGGCACCATAACAGCATCTGACAAAATTAGCCTCTTCTCCATGGATTCCAGTGAAAGTCAAGGGACAGCAGACTCCTCGGTTGTAACCTTTGCCGCTGGTCCAAACCCCTCAATTATTCCACATAGTGCCGTTGTAGAACCCTCGAAATCTGTGCAACAGCTCAAGCAACCTACCGTATGTTATGTAAATGCAAAAGAAATTCGTCGACGACTCGAGCTGAATCTGGCGTGTCAGCCACAAAGATCATTTAAGGTAAACTTTTTTGAGTAATATACCATATACCTGTTGGTTAGGTCTCTTTTTTTAGCATATGCAATTCTCGTTTATTTACTTTACAACTCTGTAAAGGGTAATAGGAAATCCTTGGTACAGTGGTCAGTGTGTTCGCCTGTCAAGTCACGGAAGCCACACATTCTAGGTTTGTCGGTGCACACCGTATGACTTGGATGGTCAACTTCGCTGAACGTGGCTTCAAATTACTCTTTCTCTCTCTCTCTCTATTTAAGTCAGGTGTTGTAAACATTTTCTATATTGGAATTGGGAGGTTCTTGTCTGAGAAACATCGCCCTAACCACTTAGCACTGCAGCCATTCATAAAGTTGTGAACTAGAATGTTCTGTGTGTATTTGTGACGTATGCTTAGCCACCACAAAATGTTTCAATATTGGCTGAACTTCTCAGTTACATTTATCTCAATTAATCTTGGTTATATAGCCTAATTAGCATCAACAATCGAATAAAATTAATAATTTTGAGTTGAAGCAACTCTCACCACTTGTGGGCATTTATTTTCTTTTAATCCTTCAAATTGGGTAGTCGATGCAATAGATCTAAGAAGCTCCTAGTGCTATTTTGAGTATCTTGTAATTCATACAAGTAGATTGTTGAACGCTTGCTAACAATTTTACAAATTTCGCTCCCACTGAACTCATTATTTTCTTTAGCTTGATCCGGAGGATCCAAGTGCAGTAGTGCTAAAAGAACCCTGGGAGTTGAAAGCGCATCGAATTAAGGAGTCTTCACCATGGGGACATCTTCCAGGTTGGCGACTGGCTGCAGCAATTATCAAAGTGGGCGACGATTTGAGACAGGAACAATTGGCTTATCAACTTCTCACTAGCCTTCAGGTAAAACTTATTTAAAGCGCTTCAGTCGGCCTTTTGTCTTGTTGTGGAGAAGAGGTTAGAAGTTAGCAAGACAGTGGCATTGCTAAGCTTCTTGATTCTTTTTTTTCTACAATATGGATTTATATTGAAGTACCTTTGGTTTAAACTTGTTATCTTTGGTGTCTAGCGAATCTGGAGCGAAAATCGAGTTGACCTGTGGTTGCGTCCGCTGAATATTGCCATCACCTCACCGGACAGTGGATTGATTGAACTTGTCCAAGACACCTTTTCATTGCATCAGATTCGGCGACACTTTCGGGTTTCTCTTCTTGATTACTTTATTCGTGAGCATGGACCCAAAAATTCCGAGGGATTTTTGAGTGCTCAAAAAAACTTTGTCCACAGCTGTGCGGCCTATTGTCTGGTTGGGTACCTTTTCCAAGTGAAGGACAGGTGAGTAAAGATTTGTTGTTGTATTGTTGCTAATGAGAATATTCTTACTGGATCACTCTTCTCTAATCCCTTATCACCTATTAAATTTTTTGGAAAAAGTGTGAGATGGCTTAGTAATCTAAGCCAGAAACACCAGAACCTAAGTCATCAAACTTTAAGTAATTAGAGTAGCATTTCAGATGCTGCATGTGAAAGACCCAGAACACCCCTTAAAACGCACTTCTTCGTTGCATCCCATCTTAGTATGTTTTATGAATTAGAAATTTTTTGGTATGTAAACGAGATACGCTTGACAGCCGGTAACTTTAATTATGTTAAACTCACCGTGTCGCATGAAATAGGGGGGGGGGGGGGGGGGGGGGGGGGGGGGANGGGGAGGGTTTATCAAGCCGGCAGCCACTCAGAGCCTGTGTACCACAATTGATGGGAAGCATTATTTATTTATATCAAATGGCAGGCGTTTTGATAGTTATCACCAGCCCTTTAGCTGACTTCAGGCTTCACAGAGGGAAGGTTCATCAAAATAGCAGAAAGTCGAAGGGTGGGGAACAGAAGAGCGATAAGCAGATGCAAAAGAGATAGACGGACACAAAGGTAGAGAGTAGGGTAAGGTGAGTACTGTGAAAGTGGTGGAATATGACATATGGACATACGTTGCCTAGGGTGCACCACGTGGAGGTAAGTCTCTCGTACATCCCTTGATGGAAAGCATAGAAGTTGCTATTATGCCTTTTTAAGAAAAGACGCTAATTGCTCATATCGAACTTCTTTAATAGATTCTTATGTCTCCAGGTTTGTTATCGCTGTCTTAATAGTTATTCTACCAAATTAAGGCGTATCCAATGTTTCGATTGGTTCATTACACAACTGCGATCAATGATCGTTTTGGTTTTGGTGACAAGTGAGAAATGTTGTAATAAACGACATTAGACCAATAATTAGCTATATATCGCACTTGGAACTTCTGATACTATCATTAACTTCGATTAACCAGCAGCAGCAGAACAACTTAACTTCTCTGACTTCTATCGCTCTTGATTTCATTGCACACAGGCACAACGGCAACATCCTAATTGATAAAGAAGGCCATGTAATCCACATTGACTACGGATTTATGCTCTCAGCGTCACCCGGAAGAAACTTGGGTTTCGAGATGAGTCCATTCAAGTTGACCTCTGAGCAAGTTGAATTGATGGGCGGTGTCGATAGTGAAATGTTCACTTACTACAAGACTCTCATTCTTCGTGGTCTTCTGGTGGCTCGGAAGCATATGGAAGAGGTGAGTCAATTTTATGGACTTTAATGCATCCTTTCGACGAATAATCCATTAAGATTAGTCATTGACGTCAATTGATCCGGCCTAGTTTCGTTTTCTTTAGTACGAACCACTGATCTCTGGTTTATGTCACCTGCGCATTCTTGTTTACTTCCGCTTATTTACTTTTAGTGTGGAAATTTGTTTTCCGTAGATTTCCCATTTACAATCTCATCATACAATCTCCTTGTCCCTTTATCTGAAGTAGTCCGTGAAATAATTTGCTTGAGTAGCAATTCACGTTCTATTCTTTCGATTGCAGCTAATTCTAATTGTCGATATCACTCAAGCCGGTTACCCGGATCTCCCCTGTTTCTATCCTGGTGGGGGAAAGCGCGCGATTGAGGCTCTTCGGCAGAGATTTATGCTCACTTCTACGGAGGATACGGTCATTCGATTCGTTGACTGTATGATTCGCCAGTCGCTTAACTCCTTAACTACCCGGTTGTATGACAATTATCAATATTTCGCCAATGGAATTCAGTGAAAAGCTTCCCTAATCGATAATCTTCCACTCCACCAAGTAATTCATTAAATATTCCTGTACAGAAATACCTCCCCCTCCCCCACCCCTAATTCCTTTTAATTTGTTATTCTTGATGATGACGTTGTTGGTATACTCGAGGTGGTAAATTGTACTCTGTGTGACGTTATTTCTTACTGTCAAGTTTCTGTTTTTTCTTCTCTGTTTCTATCCTCTCCTTTTGTTTTTTTCTGTGAAAATGACAAATGCATCCGAAATTTCATGACTTGGCGATGTAATAAATGAGTCGTATTTTGAGACAAAAAGGGCACTTCTATTTGACCTCATCGAAACCTTAGAGGGCTTTGTTCTGGTCTCACCTCAGAAATGTCACGTTGTGAAAGCGAGTAGACGTGTTCTGATGTATAAAATTAACCGATAAAAGAGAAAACAGTTAACAATTCTAAAGAAGGAAGACTCGTACTGAGAACGGAAATCATTCTGACTTCCACTTTCGAGGCGTTGGATATCGCTGCCAGTAACCCGAGATAGCAAAAGTTTCCCCCACTAAAGGACAAATTAGTAATGGTAAAAGCGCAACTCAAATTACTAATAGCATCGCGACTGGGCGTATTAATGTGATACGAAGGAAGACGGGATAAAATAGCAGGAAAGCACTCAAGGATTTCTACAAAACTGATAAGGGCCAATGCCCATGAAAAAAGATCTGAAGCCAACCCCATCCATTCAGTCAGCAGCTGTCTATCGAAAAATTCCTCGTCTAGGCAAGGGAAGATGCTATCAGATACCTAATATGGTCACTTCCTAGTTGCAGATAATACCAGGATGACGATACGCCAATCCAGCTGGTGTCCATAACCCACTTAAGCCGCTGCCAATCAGAATTCAGAGCCAACTCAATTTACCCACAATCCTACACATCCTACCACTTAGCCCACTTTGTACACAGGCAGCAATTTCGTTGTAACTTGCATCCACTTTATAATTGATGTCATTGGTCACTTCCCTGAAACTACAAGAAACAATTTCCTTAACCCCCTCATACCAAGCATTACGAACTGCAAATAACGCAAAATAAGGAAACACCGAACACGTAGCAAAAGTCTTGTATTCAAAAAAACATTCAAAATGAAAAAAAAATTGTTTTGACTGATTATGGTTGAGATAGTCTTCAAAACTCGACGTGCTCAGGCTTCCCGATTAGCTGCAATGAATAAATGGATGCCGACAATCTGCCGCAATTAATAAAAACACAATGCATACTATCACACGGAGGATCTCGAAGGCACTTAGTAAGCTAAAACTATATACGCAATGACGTAAAGCAGGTTTACAAACAAGGGTACAAAGAATAATGTACCTCTGTCGAAATCGAAGAGACCCCACAACTCAACATAAGAAGAGTGCCGAGGTTAAAGTGTGCTTGATGGAAATTGGCGCCTAATTCAACTCACCTGGCCCACAAGCATTGAAATTATAAAGTAAATGTTGGGATCTAGGAGGCCGCTTGCATCAAGATACGCAAGCAGTACTATGAGATACCGGTCATTTCGCTTGTTTGCTAGAACTAGATGTCAGACGATACCCAGCCGGTTTACAAGCACCGAAATTTTAAGTAAGGAAAATGAATGTTGGGATCTAGGAGGCCGCTTGCACCAAAATATGCAAGCAGTACTATGAGATACCGGTCATTTCGCTTGTTTGCTAGAACTAGATGTCAGACAACACCCAGCCGGTTTACAAGCAAAGATAGTTATAAAAGATACATGAAAACAAAATGCAAATCTCAACTGAAAAATACAAAACCAAACAACCGCAAATGAACCGCATCACGTGCGTCAAATGCGTGGCAATAGAAAACGCAGTTCGGTGAAATAAACAAATTATATGTATTTTAATTTATTCACGAAAATCTCAAATCTTATAAATAAATTATAAATGGAGTTTATAAAAACTTAAAAGTATAATAATATTATAATTTTAGCAATTTTATTTTCTATTTAATGCGAATCTAATACATTCTATTAATTTTAATTGAAAACTATATTTGTGGAGATTCCTATTTAACTTTTCAGCATTTATTTGCATAGTTAAATGATATTAATCTTTATTATTTTGTGTTTAAAGCATTGTTTTGACACGTTATAATATTGTTCCTTTAATGGAATGTATTTCGTTACCACGGTGTAATAGGTACATATAAATTGGCTTTGAATAATATATTGAACAAAAGAGCTATTTCAATTATTTTAAGATTAAGAGTTTTATGATTTCATAGATGTTCAGATAATCAATTTAATGAGTAAGCCAAAAGTGACGTGGCCATTAAAGTTAGATCTCAAAATTCAACCTATCAATCATTCAAGTCTTAAAGTTTAATCCAATGCATTGAAGTAGAACATTTATCGCTCAACTGAAGGGTATTAATTCCGTGTGTCAGATGGAAATGAACATTATGAAAAAAACGCTATATCTTCAGTGATATACCAAACCGTGCTAACTTAATTTAACTTCGATTAAATTAGCAGTATAGGATCATTTCACTTAACAAAAGTATAATAGAATTTTCAGCTTGATCATTTTTTAAAGCGAATTCACAATTTGTAAGTACTTCGAAAGAGATAGTACGTGCCTTAGCGAAATTTGCATTGATGCTTTTTTGAAGTATTGTGCTTTGCATCTTCGCCATGTTTCAATTCCTCATAATTTATCAAGCACACAAGCTTTTAATTTGAGCTATCTTTATGGAAGTGAAAGTTTAAAATGTAATGGCTGAATTTAGCGAATATCAAGAGCCTTCATGACCGAGTTGTTGAAAATGCATTGAATATTGCTCTCCCACTTACATTTCACCCTTGTGTCCTAGTGGCCAATTTTCAAGTAGATATGATGCCAAAGTGTCATATTGTACAAGTAGTATAGCATAGAATTAATAAGAATAAAGGCCTGTATGCGGTTAAGAAAGAAAAAGCGCACCAGGAATCATTATAGTGTGGAAAGGTGAGAAAAAGTGACCATTTTAACATAAAGGTCCCATCCACTTTCGGTATAATGGCATCATGTGGTTCAACCAAGTTAACTACTGGTCCCTGCGCTCATGTTGATCTGCATGTTGACAGGGTTGCTAATTTGATTTACGCAATTTTTGTCTTATGAGAAGATCACAGTTTAAAAGATGAACTAATATTTTGAAGGCTCTAGAGCCAACTTGAAGTACAACTGATATTGAGGTGATATTAACATCAAATGTGATTTTCTGGCGCATGTACGCTAATACCCTCACTAGTAATTATATTGAAATGAAAAGGATACCAGACCCAGAGAAGTGAATAGCGCAATTAGTGTAGAAACTAGCATAATGGTCTGGAATGAAGTAGCAGAACTTTCTGAATGTATGTATAAGTTCACATGGGGTTGTATATATATTCTTGGGATTGGGCATGATGGCAATAAGGCACCTGCTTCCATAAATTAATCAATAGTGAAAAGGAGAAGAAATCACAAACGGGAATATTCGTATGCTGAAATGGATTAACGAGCTAACGGTTATAGGATACGTAGCACTGAGGTTAATGGGCTGTCATATTCACCTGATGAGACATGGCATGCAATAATAGGTAAAAAATTGGAATAACGTCTGAGTGAGCAGTACTTGACCTTAACTATTACAGCTTTGGAGTTTATTTATTTATATTAGAAGGCTAGCTTTTGGTGCTTTTCATCAGTCCTTTAGTTGACTTCAGGCTTCACAGAGGGGAGGAACACCAAAGCACGAAAAGTTGAGAGGGGGGACAGAAGAATGATTCGCAGATGTAAAATAGACAGACAGACAGACAGACAGACAGACAGACACAAAGGTAGAGCATAGGTAAGGTGAGCACTGTGAAAGTTTTCGAATATGACATACAGTAGGGTCGTGGTAGTTTGAAGTCAACTGTCGGTTAATAAACTTTTTTGCCCAGGCTGCACCACCTAAAGGTAAAGTCTATCGCGTACCCCGCAACTTTGAGGCAAGTAATGGCAAATGATTATTTTAAATGACCGTTGTTAAAGCTAACTTGTTCACAGAAAACTTAAATTAATTTAATTGCCAAGGTAGATAACTGACTAAAACGAATAAACACATCTTTCATTCGATTGCAATTTTAGAGTGATTAATTACTCACATTAGGCCGAAGTCTTGAGTGGGGTGAATTTGATTTGGTTATTTGTAATAGGGTCTAAGTAAAAACAATTAATCTTACTTCACTTTACATTTAGTTTAAGTGGAATAGACCATCTCCACTTCTTAAGTTTGGCTTCTCATCAAATTATCATGATATTCCCAGCAAAACATGGCCACTGGGAAACGCCTTCTTAGATATTCTTGGGAGATAGAAATTATGGGATTTGGAGTTCATTAATTGGGTTATAATAGTCCAATGCATAACACTGCGAAGGAACATTATCAGCGAATCTTAATTGAAGTTAAGTATTGCATCGGCAATTTTATAGAGTACAGTAGGGGGTGTGGGATAGACTTACCTCCTCGTGGTGCACCCTGGGCAATGCTTAATCATACGGCAAAAATGTCTATTAACCGACAATTGACTTCTCACTTCAAACAACCATCACGCGCACTGTATGTCATTTTCGACCCCTAACACAGTACTCATCTTACCCTTTCTGAGCCTTTGTGTCTGTCTACATCTTTCACATCTGTGAATCACTCTTCTATTCCCCCTCCCGAAACCTTCTCACCTTGATGTTCCTTCCCAGGGCAAGTGATAATTATCAAAACGCCTGCCATTTGTTATAAATATAAAGTACAGTAAAGAGCAATGACTTATTAATAGCAAGATTGCACGCAAGAAACAAAAAAAAGGACTTTTCCAAATTTAAAATTTCAAACGAATTTAGCCCAATTTATTAGTGATCTGGCTACGATACAACAAACAGTCAGGTATTTCCTTCAAAGGGAAACAACCCCATCATATAAGGAGCGAAATTTCCTGAATATGGAG